TTCTTTGTTATGGATAAATAAAATACATACATCTAGATTTTTAAACATATATTATAAAAATACGACAAGAATATTTGATGTAGGTAAAGTAGAAAATAAAATATTATTTTTCATGAATAATGTAGTGGCCCTTTAGTCGCGTAACAGTTTTGTAAGACCTAGATTTAGAACCTATAGAACCCAAAACCCAAGACCAGGTCTTCGGTAATCGCACGCATTATGCGACAAATGATTATGGCAAAAAAAATTTAAAGAACTAGAGTAAACTTTTAAATAATTTAAAGAAAAATCAATTGTAAAGAAACAAACTAGATACGAGTTGTTATTGTTAGTCCAAATGAAGCCTTAAATAAAAGTCATACGGTAACTTTTTGATTTGCACTTTGAACATACTGAACCAGTGTACTGGGAACATTTTATAGGTATGACTACGTACACAATTGGATTTGATCAAGTTGCGTAGTAAAGTCTGGACTATAAAACATTGTTATAGAAAACAAAGTAAAACGTGTTGTAGGGGTTTTTCAACTAGCGAGTTTTATGTACAACTCATGTAATGCAGTTCTATAGGAACCAAACATTTTTTAGCTTTAATCTATGACTCTCCTTTAATATGAAAACTTTCTTATGTATTTAGTGTTGATGTTGTAAACCTCAGTGCTACGACTACAATTATTAACTACTACCTAATTATAGAGGTATTATTTGCTTTCACAAACACTTGTATTTCGTAGAAAAATGGACCAATGCGCAACATAGCGGTCACTTACAAAAATATTTATTACATTATAATATTTTCTGCCTTTTGGGAACATTTCAGGCGGCATGAATTACACATAAATATCCTTATCCTTACACTCCCCTCTGTAATGTATCGCCACACTAAAAGCTTCAGGTAGGTAGGTAGGTATAGGTACATCCCTATCTTTAAGTTGCTGGCTATTAATTTACTGCTCTTTGTTCAGAAGAGCCTAGAAAATGCTACTATGGTACGCAATAGTATCTATTAATTTATTATGTTGTATCTAAAAAGGGACATGCTATACTTAAGAAATATTAAATACATTACATTTTATGGCAAATAAAAAGCTCACTTATAAATACAAAAAAAAAGAAATAAGTCTACTTAGTTCGACTTCTTATAATTCGAACCTTTTCATTGCATATAAATTACACAGAGACGCGCAACCGAGATGGGGCTCGTGTTTACCGACATATGTTACTTGTGGTAAACGAAACCACAAAACGTAGTATAGCCGATTGTTACTGCGCCAAATGTGCCGTTAATCAAATTAAATATTTAAGCCCTTCCCGCCATGTGATACGGATACCAGCTACGAAGACAGCAGGGTTGAGTATGATAAATAATTATTTTATAATATGCACAACAAGTCTGAATGTCTCACAGAAATGCGGGGCGTTACCACTGCGTCTATTGCTTTTCAAAATGAAAAGGCTTCCCTTTCTGATCAAAACAGTATTAAACACCTGAACGGACTGAACC